ATAACTGTAAACCAACTAATAATATTAGAGACTATTGGAGAGAAGATCTTACACATGATATTAACGAGGTCCAAAGAGATGACCCAGTGGGTAAATGTGCTTGTCAATGAGTCTGCTATCTAAACTGGATCTCTAGGACCTGCATAGTGGAAGGAGAGATCTCTGATACACACACACACACACATACACACACACACACACACACACACACACACACACACACACACACACACACACAAAATAAATGTAATCATTGTACTTTATTATATTGGTTCTAGGGATTAAACCCAGGGACTCTAAGCATGCTAAGCTTGTGTTCTATCATGAGCTGCAACCCTAGTCCCAACTGCATTCATTTAAAAATTACTATAACCCTAGTCCCAGGTCAATCATGCCAGCTGCCTGTTTTTGCTAATAAAGTTTTACTGGAACACAACCACATACATTGGGCACAGTATTATCTATAGTTCGTTATGTACCATGATAAGTTACATAATTTTCAGAGTCTATATGACCCACAAAGGCTAAAATGTTTACTATCAGGCCCTCTATACAAAGTTTGTAGACCCTGACCAAAAGCATATACTAAAATCTACAAATCATCAAGGGAAGGGCGCTTAATGGAAAAATGAGCAAACAACGCAATACAAAACAACAATTCACAGGAAAAATAAAAATAACTTAGTAAATATTACAAAAAAGAGCTGTCATGGTGTTATAGACGAATTTTTAACTCCAATATTGTGGAGGTGGAAACAGGAGGATCAGCACAAGGCATGCCACAGCTCCAAAGCAAGTTCAAGGACAGCTTGGGCTATGTAAGATTCCATCAAACTTGTACTCACATGCACATGTTCACACACAGACACACACATGATTAAAAATAATAAAAATAAAATTTTAAAAGAGGGATTTAACTTACATAGCAATAGGGAACTTATTAGAAAATAAAATCGCCAGGCGGTGGTGGCACACGCCTTTAATCCCAGGCGGATCTCTGTGAGTTCCAGGCCAGCCTGGTCTCCAAAACGAGTTCCAGGAAAGGCGCAAAGCTACACAGAGAAACCCTGTCTCGAAAAATCAAAAAAAAAAAAAAAAGAAAAAAGAAAAAAGAAAATCATTCAGTAATATCCATTTCTGAAAATGTTATGACATTGTTTTGGAAATTTAGTGAACTTGATGTTAACCCAACCATTCTATTTTTAGGTATCTGCCCCAGAGAAATATTCGCATTCCTGCACGCACACACCCAACCAAAAGCACTATAAAGCTTTTAGCTAGACAGACACAGTAACTGGGCTGGAGAGGTGGCTCAGTGGCTAAGGGCATTCGTTGGTCTTCCAGAGGACCCGAGTTCAGTTCCCAGCACCCACATCAGGCAGTTGACAACTGTCTGCTCTAACACTGGCTTCAGGGGATTCAACACCTTTGGCTTCCATGTCCACATCCACATACTCGGGCACATATACGTGTGTGCACACACCACACACACACACACACACACACACACACACACACACACACACACACACGCTCCTATATACGATTAAATTTAATAAAAATAAATCTTTTAAGAGGACATTTATTTGTTAAAAATTAGTGTGTTGTATGCATACATAAATGTATATATGCGGGTACACACACACACACACACACACACACACACACACACTTCACAGCACACACATGAAAGTCAGAGAACGACTTTGTGGACTTGATTTCTTCTTCTACCTTTACATGGGTTCGGGAGAATGAACTCAGGTTCTCAGGCCTGGCTTGCACAGCAAGCACCTGACCTCCTGAGCCATCTTGCCAGCCCTCTATTCACTATTTATAACAGCAAAACTCATCAGTGGCCTTGACTACTCATCACTGAGGGAATGGGTTAAATTATAGTGCATTCCAAATGGGCCCATATGGAAAACAATTTTATGTTTTTAGAAGTAACAACATGAAAAGGAGCTCTAGACGTTGTCAAGCAGAAAGAAGCACGCTGGAGAACACAAGCACAAAGCTCAGGCTTCCAAAGGTTGGATGAGGGTGGCTGAGATAACTCAGCAGGTAGACACTTGTTGCCAAGCCTAATGACCTGAGTCTGATCCCCAGAACCATGATACAAGAACTGACTCACAAGTGGTGCCCCGTGGCAAGTGGATGCACACACCACACAATAAATAAATGTTAAAAATTTAAAGGTTTAAATGATACTTCCGTCCATCTATATGCAGAGAAATGCACAAGAGGACTGAAGGAAAATGTCATCCTGGGAATAGGGGCTGAGCAAGCACAGCATCATCCGAGTGACAGACAACACAAGAACTGCGGTTAACGTATCCCAGATCAGTCTGAATTCCAGGGCAGGGAAAGCAGGACTCCTTGGCCCCAAACAACACTGTTGGCGCACTTTCTGAAACTTAACTGTCCTGATGTGCCCACGAGGTGGCTGCTGTAGACCCTTAGAGAAGGGGACAAAGAAGGCACTTAGGAATCCACACTATGCTCCTGAAACTCTTTCCCTCTGAGTGTCAGGCTTTCTGCAATGAAAGGGAAGTGGCTAGTTTAACTGACCTCCAAGTACTTCCCAGGTCTGATGCCACAACATAAGCGGGCCTGGAAGAAGCTCCCTACCTCTCTAGGGGAAAACAAATAAACAAAACCAACAGCTGAGGAAATAAAGCTTAAATCAGAAGGCTCAAAGGAATGTGTGCTCCTGGGAAGATGACATCCTTGAGAGCAGAAGCTGTCCCCGCCTCCCTGGACTCATATCCTCAACTATTACAGAGGGGGTGGCTTTGATGATGGCTGATGATGTATCTTCCAGTTTGGACAGTCTAAAATAAGCTCTGGGTGGGAGGGGCAGCAGGAAGCAGGGGATTGGGGGAGGCTGACAGGAACCAATTGGCTGAGGTTTTCCAGTGGAGCCGTAAGGAGAGCAAAAGGCTCTGGGAGAACCGGATACAGAGAGCAGCGACAAATGCTGTTGGCAAGAGCCTCCAGTCTCCCTGCTCGCCTTTCAAGAGCAGTTTCTTCCTGAAAGATCCCAGGAGGTAGAAGACTGAGCTAATCTCTCCCCACACAAATAACTCTACTCATTATTTTAGGAACTACTATTCAAATTGTGCCCTGGAGGTCTCAGGCCTGCTTCAAAACCTACAATTCCACTTTGAAAACAGCGAAAGAGTCCAATACTTTCAATCTGCCTCATCCCTTGAGTTTAATGAATAATCAACTGATTTTTTGTTTTAATATTTTAGACTCAAACATTGAAATTCCACTCATTTATCTAAACTTAAGAATCAGTAAAAGCCCCTGTGTAGCATAAATATCTAATTACCAGTTTGTGTGGTTGTTCCAAATAACCTGGAAACTTACAAACCCCTCTCAAAACAGCCTTTGCCAAGTCCAGAAACTTAAATCAGAGTTGACTGTTCTATGGGTGGTTTTTCGGTTTGTTAAATTATAAGAGGAAAAGCTCAATAAAATACATTTCTTGCTTTTCATAACAGCACCGTGGGAGAAGTAAGTCAGTAATCACTATTACCAGTTTACAGATAAGGAAATTAAAACACAGAGGTAAAAAGACTCGTTCAAGGTCAGACCTCAGAAAGTCACAGCCAAGACTAGAAGCAGTCATCTCATAAATCCCATAAACTGCTTCCAAGAACAGAGTTCAAATGAGAAGAGGAAATCACCATTTCTCTCTCTTCAGGAGTTCTGCCCTTCCCAAGTATACAGGTCGCTAAGGCTCTGGGTGTCCTCACAAATCAATGACTGAGACCTGGAGAATCTAGCTTCCTGATTACTTCCTGGCTATTGGAAATCTGACCTCAGAGAAAGATGCCATAACCCCTGCCCTACCATCCAATTCTGGTTTGCCCCATAAAACAAGTCAAACCTTGCTTGCCCAGAAAGGCATTAAAAACAGCCAAACCAGGGAACTTCAAAGCAATGTTTTCAGTCTAAACAGCCCTTTCCAAAAAGGAGTGGCTAGTACCAGGTGGCACTGGACTGGAATGCATGGGGAAACTCCACTGGCATTCGGCAAGCAGGGGACAAATCAGGTGTTGAGAGGTAACTAAAGAGTAGGGGGAAAGGTAAGCAGGATGCACAGGTCCTTCCCAAAGTGGTGCAACTAAGGCCAGGAATTTTCAACACCAGAAGCCTGAGAGCACCCAGTTCCTAAGGGCCAACAGGGCCTGTGGCCCAAACTAGGGACCTTGTATCAACACAAATTTCCCATCTCCGACATTTATTACTCCGGGGTGGAGGCCTAGAACTGTTTTTCCTGTCTCTGTCTTTGACGCAGGGTAGGAAGAGCTACTAATCCGATCCAAAATCCCGACCAACAGATAAAGACATAAAGAGGAGGGAATCAACTTTCCCCAGAATGCACAAGTCTTCTTGGACTCCCCAGCCAGAGAGCAGAAACAGGGACCCCCTCAACAAAAACCGTCCCTACCATCAGTTCAAGAGCAAGACCCACCCATCCCCACTTGGAAACACTCCACCTCTCTCCGAGCCCTGATGGTGACAGTGACTTAGAAGGAGAGCAGGCTCTGTTCCACAAGATGGAAGCTGGTGGCCCACGCAGACAAGCCAATTCCTGGGACAGTCTGGTGGCCAAGTCTGAGTCCAGCCCCAAGACAAGAGTCTGGGGGTGGGTAGGAGAGTCCTGACAAGCGGCAAGCAAGCCCCACTTTGTTCCTATCCAGGGAAACCAGACTTTTTTTTTTTTTTTTTTTTTGAGTCACCCAAAAAGCATGAATCACACGGCAGAGCTATGGGAACGGGAAAGGATGTTATTTTTCGGCATACTTGAGGATTTTCCCTTTGTCCCGGCTCTATCGATACTCTTCCCGCCCCCATTCCAACCCCATCCCCCAACTCTCACGCATTTTTTTTCCTGCTCCATTTTTATTTTCTCTTGGCCTTCGCAGGCTCCGGGCTCCTCGCCCGACTCGCAGGCAGGACTCCCAGCTCCGCACCCCGCGGCAGCTCACCTGCGTCAGGTCCTCGTCGTTGAGCAGATGCGACTCGCGGGGCTTGAAGCAGTTCTGACACTTGCTCTTGTTGAAGATGTTGGCCTGAAATTTCCTGCACGGGTTTTCCTTGGCCGCCGACATGTCGCCTAGGCGGCCGCGGCGCGGGCCACTTCGGCCCAGCGCGCTCCCGGAGGTCGGGACTCAGCGCGGCCGCCGCCGCATTTTGCGCTGGCCGCCGCAGGCCCGGAAAGGCCTCCCCGCTCACGCCGCGCCCCGCCTGCTCGCCGCGGCCTCAGAGCGCGCGCGCCGCCTCGCGCCCCGCCCCGCCGCCGCCGGGCCGCTGCGGGCCCATGGACGGACGCGGCCTCGGGCCGCTGCCTCCACCGCGGCCGCCCCCCAGGCGCCGGCCGGCAAGTCCAGCCGTCGCGCTCACCGGGCGCCCGCCGCCACCGCGAACGAACCGAGCGCGGCGCCGCGCGCACTCGGGGCGGGGCGGGGCGGGGCGCCGCAACCGGCAGCCCCGCGGGCCAATGGCGCCCGTACGCTCCTGCTAACAAAGAAACCCGTCGGCCAATGGATGGCGGGGGCGGGACCGGGAGCCGCGGGCGCAAGGTAACTTGTCCAGGCTGGGAAGGTGGAGGCGCTGGGATGGAACTTTCAGGTTTGGTGGACTGGCGCCGACGCCCGCGGCCTGACAGCTGCGGCGCTGGGCTGGGCTGCTCCCGGAAGGGAGCAGCGGATCTCCGCGGTCTCCCCGAGGGCCCCTGCCTCCCTCGTAGCCTCTTTGCTGCGGCCTTCTGCCGCGCCCAGCCTGCACCCCTACTTTGTGCCGGGTCTACGGTCGACCCAGATTGCACTATTAGGGCTAGAAACTGTTTCAAGTGCTCCCCATGTTTCAGCTCATTAAAGTTCCTCAATCTTTCCATGGTCATTCCTGCTTTACGTGAGGAAACTGAGGTGCGCGGAACAGTTAAGTAATAATACATAGTGTTTCCGACATGATTAGATGTCAGCAGCCTTAAGGAGCTATCAATCCTAAGATGGGAGATGAGTGAGCCCAATTCTGCAAGATACGGAGTTAGGCACCTTCATTAGGTGCTTGCTGAAACAAAGGCTCCGACGCTGGAAATAGCTTGTGCAAGGTCACTTTGCCAGGAAGCGGACGAACTATTACTGTAGGCCACTGTTGCCCAGACTTCCAGGCAAAAGGCCACTAGGAAAGGAAAGAAACAGAGGAGTGCAGAATGGGCGGAGGGGAGCAGGGTGGAGGGGACAACCCCTGCTCCTTACGAGACAGCAGCAATGGGATGGATCTAAGCAGGGAGCATGCGGAAATGTTCCCAAGTATGCAGGTAGAGGTGGGGGAGGAGGAACAAGAAAGGAGTCTGTGGTCCCAGGACTCTGGAGGCAGATCTAGGAGGATGGAGAGTTTGAGGTCAGCCTGGACCATCGTGAGACATGTCTAAGGAGGAGTAGGGAGAGAGGGAGGAACAAAGTGAGGGAGGGATCGCTTAGGCCTGAGGTTCCTGGCTCAACGGGCTGACAGTTCGGAATCAGCCTGAGTTTTTAGCAGAGTCTGAGCTAACTCATTTTTCACGGTGAAGGTGATATTGGAGCAGGTGGTAGCAGCATTGAGAGCAGCTGAGCTCAGGTTATGAGGAGGCTTTAGTAAAGAGATGCCTTCAGAGCTGTGTACTTTTCCGCTGATCATCTGGTGACTACCCGGGAGGTGTATGTCCCATTTTGAGAAAGAAATGCTTTCCTGAACAAAGAATCAGGAATGAAGGAACTCAGATCAAAGTCTTCCAACCGCCTGAGGGGAAAGCCCAGCTCTGATCCAGCTGTGGGCAAGTCCTTTACCCTGGCTGGCGCCTCATTGACCTCATGTACAAAACTGACATGAATGTATGGAGTTGCAAGCATTAAGTGATAATAATGCTTGCAAAATATTTCACATATTATGGCCAATCACTAATTGGTGAAATTTGGCAGAGGGTGTTTACTGCATTATTCTTGCAACCTTCTTGTTCTTTTAAATTTTTCCAAAAACAAAGGGGAATGAGTAAAGGGAGACTGACAGCTCTTGTCTGCACAGAATACTCAGAAAGTGACACCAATGGTGGCCTCTGGGGAGAAGAACTAGGTTATTGGGAAGTGACCTACTTTTAATTTTCTTTATAAAACCTTTTTGCTCCTTTTGGGTTTTGTTTTATGTACATGTACAACTTGTTTAAAAAGGAAGACTTAGGCCAGCGAGATGGCACAGTGTGTAAAGGCTTTTAGTGCCAAGCCTGAGAATTGAGATCAGTCCCCTGAAGCCACACGGTGGAAGGAGAGAGCAAACTCTGACAAGTTGTCCTCTGACCTCCTTATGAGTGGCACAGTATGCTGCACTCATATGCGCGCGCGCACACACACACACACACACACACACACACACACACACACACACACACTAAATTTAAAATGTAATTAAAGCTCTTCAAAAAATATTTTAAAGTTCTACCCATATCTTGGGGCCAATCAAGACTACCTTATTAAGAAAATGCTGGCCAGGCGGTGTTGGCGCACACCTTTAATCCCAGCACTCGGGAGGCAGAAGTAGGTGGATCTTTGTGAGTTTGGGGCCAGTTTGGTCCACAGAGTAACCAGGGCTACACAGAGAAACCCTGATAAAGGCCTTGGAGAGATCAGGAATACAAGGAACATGCCTAAACATAATAAAGGCAATTTACAGCAAGCCAACAGCCAACATCAAATTAAATGGAGAGAAACTCAAAGCAATTCCACTAAAATCAGGAACAAGACAAGGCTGTCTGCTCTCCCCATATTTATTCAATATAGTACTTGAAGTTCTAGCTAGAGCAATAAGACAACAAAAGGAGATCAAGGGGATAGAAATTGGAAAGGAAGAAGTCAAACTTTCACTATTTGCAGATGATAAGATAATATACATAAGTGACTCCAAAAATTCTACCAGGGAACTCCTACAGCTGATAAACACCTTCAGCAATGTGGCAGGATACAAGATTAACTAAAAAAAAATCAGTAGCCCTCCTATATACAAATGATAAACAGGCTAAGAAAGAAATCAGAGAAACATCACCCTTTACAATAGCCACAAATAATATAAAATACCTTGGGGTAACTCTAACTAAGCAAGTGAAAGACCTGTACAACAAGAACTTTAAGTCCCTGAAGAAAGAAATTGAAGAAAATATCAGAAAATGGAAAGATCTCCCATGCTCATGGATAGGTAGGATTAACATAGTAAAAGTGACAATCTTACCAAAAGCAACCTACAGATTCAATGCAATCCCCATCAAAATCCAAACACAATTCTTCACAGACCTGGAAAGAACAATACTCAACTTCATTTGGAAAAACAGAAAACCCAAGATAGCTAAAAGAACCCTGTACAATAACACAACCTCTGGAGGCATCACCATCCCTGACATCAAGCTCTACTGTAGAGCTATAGTAATAATAATTAAAAAAAAGCTTGATATTTGCATAAAAACCAACATGTGGACCAATGGAATCGAATTGAAGACACTGACATTAACCCACACACCTATGAACACCTGATTTTTGACAAAGAAGCCAAAACTGTACAATGGAAAAAAGAAAGCATCTTCAACAAATGGTGCTGGCATAACTGGATGTCAACATGTAGAAGATTACAAATAGATCCATATCTATTGCCATGCACAAAACTTAAGTCCAAGTGGATCAAAGACCTCAATATAAAACCAGTTACACTGAATCTGATAGAAGAGAAAGTAGGAAATAGTCTTGAACGCACTGGCACAGGAGACCACTTCCTAAATATAACACTAGTAGCACAGACACTGAGAACAAAGATTAATAAATGGGACCTCCTGAAACTGAGAAGCTTCTGTAAGGCAAAGGACACAGTAAAATAAGACAAAACGACAGCCTACAGAATAGGAAAAGATTTTCACCAATCCCACATCTGACAAAGGGCTGATCTCCAAAATATATAAAGAACTCAAGAATCTAGACATCATAATAATGAACAATTCAATTAAAAAATGGGCTATAGAGCTAAACAGAGAATTCTCAAAGGAAGAATTTAAAATGGCCAAAAGACATTTAAGGAATTGTTCAGCATCTTTAGTCATCAGGGAGACGCAAATCAAAACCACTCTGAGATACCATCTTACACCTGTCAGAATGGCTAAGATCAAAAGCACTGCAGACAGCTTATGTTGGAGAGGATGTGGAGCAAGGGGAACACTCCTCCATTGTTGGTGGGAGTGTGAACTTGTACAGCCACTTTGGAAATCAGTGTGGGTGGTTTCTCAGAAAATTGGGAATCAATCAAGACCCAGCTATACCACTCTTGGGCATATATCCAAGGAATGCTCAATCATACCACAGGGACACATGCTCAACTATGCTCATAGCAGCATTATTTATAATAGCCAGAACCTGGAAACAACCTAGATGCCTCTCAACTGAAGAATGTATTTTTTTTAATGTGGTACATATACACAATGGAGTTCTACTCAGCAGAGAAAAACAATGACATCATGAAATTTGCAGGCAAATAGATGGAACTAGAAAATATCATCCTGAGTGAGCTAACCCAGACTCAGAAGGACAAACATGGTATGTACCCACTCCTAAGCGGATACTAGAAGTAAAGCAAAGGATAACCAGACAACAACCCACAACTCCAGAGAAGCTAGCTAACAAGGAAGACCCAAAGAGGGACGCATAGATGGCCCTGAGAACAGGAAATAGATGAGATCTCCATGAATGAACTGGGGGGTGAGGGGTGGGCAATGAAGGGTAGGGGATGGGGGATGAGAACATAAGGGAATCGGACGGTTGAGCTGAAACAGGGATGGAGTGGGAAAGCAATGAGAGAGATACCATGATGGAGGGAGATATCATGGGGATAGAGAGAAACTCGTTGCTAGCAAAGAATCCCCAAGGATGACCCCAGCTTAGACTACTAGAAATAGTGGAGAGGGTGCCTGAACTGAACTGGCTTGCCCCAGTGATCAGATTGGTGAATACGCTGTCATCACAGAGCTTTTCTCCAATGACTGATGGAGGCAGATGCAGAGATCCACAGCCAAACACCAGCAGAGCTCCAGGAGTCCAGTAGGAGAGAAGAGAAGAGGGATTCTATGAGCAAGTGCACCAGGATCATCATGGGGAAACCTGCAGAGATGACCAAGCCAAACTAGTGGGAGTTAATGAAAGTTGGATCAATGGCTGTGGAGCCTGCATGGGACTGGACTAGGCCCTCTGGATGGTGAGACAATTGTGTAGCTTGATCTGCTTGTGGCAGGGCAGGGGGGCTGGCGGTAGAATCAGGGGTGCATAAAGAGGCTTTTTGGAGCCCACTACCTATGATGGGACACCTTGTGCAGCCTTGAGGCAGGGGGAAGGGCTTGGACTTGCCTCTACTGGATGTGCCTCCCCATGGGAGGCCTTGCCTTCTTGTGGGGAGGAGTGCAGGGTGGTTGGGGCTGGGGAGGCGGGAGGAGGGAAGTGGGGGATCTTTGATTAGTGTGCAGAATGAATGAAAAAAATTCTTAATAAAATATTAAAGAAATATTTTAGATTAAAAAAAG